TAATTCATTTACGACCATTTATAGATAAAAATGGCTTATTAAGAGTTGGAGGCAGGCTACAAAACGCAACTATTAAATATAACCAAATGCATCCAATTATTCTACATAGAGATCAATATGCAGAATTAATAATATATCAAGCGCATCAATCAACATTACACGGAGGACAAAATTTAATGGAAGCACACATAAAGCAACAATATTGGATTTTAGGAGTAAGAAAAGGTATAAAAAAAATATGCAACAATTGCACAAAATGCATTAGATACAGCCAAAACTTTGGAAAACAAATAATGGGATATATGCCAAGCCACAGAATAAATGTATCCCATCCTTTCGAACACACAGGGATTGACTATGCCGGACCCATATATATGAAGTGCTCAAAAGGTCGTGGTCAAAAATCATTCAAAGGCTATATTTCAGTATTTATATGCATGTCTACTAAAGCAATTCATTTAGAAGCAGTAAGCGATTTATCAACAGAAGCATTCATGGCTGCATTAAAAAGATTCTTTTCGAGACGTGGGAAAAGTGCACATCTATATTCAGATAATGGTACTAATTTTATTGGTGCATTAAAAAGACTAGACAAAGAATTTGGAAATGCAATCAAAAATAATACATCAATAGTTCAAATTCTCGCAACTGAAAAAATAGAATGGCATTTTATTCCGCCGGCAAGCCCGCACTTCGGCGGTATTTGGGAAGCAGCAGTAAAATCTACAAAATACCATTTAAAACGAGTAATAGGTGAGACAAAGCTTACGTTTGAAGAAATGACAACATTTTTATATCATTATTATTTAAACTCAAGACCACTCTGCTATGTAAACAGCGGAATTGATAGCATTGATGTTTTGACACCAGGACATTTTCTAATTGGGCGACCACTATTAAACGAACCAGAAGCAGAAATCAAAGAAAAAATAAATCTAGTAAACCGCTGGGAACTATTACAGAAAATGAAATCAGATTTTTGGAAGAAGTGGAAAAAGAATATGTGACGTCACTTCAACAAAGAAATAAATGGATAAAAGAAAAACCAAATATGAAAAAAGGGCAAGTAGTAATCATCAAAGATGAAAATACAGCACCTGCTAGATGGCCATTGGGGAAAATTACTGAAGTATATGCCGGGCCGGATGGAAAGGTGCGAGTAGTAGAACTCAAAACGGGGAATGGAAAACTAAAAAGACCAATTCACAAACTATGCCCTCTACTAGATTCCAACGCAATTCGAGGTGATCAACAAACAGGAACACAAAAAGTTTATTGCAATGTAAATACGAAAACTGAGGTAAAATCCGACAGTACAAAGTTAGCATGGACTACTTTGTATTTTTTGATGTTATGCATATTACCAGCTGTAAAAGCAATAACGAATTCATCAGGGGCCTCAATACATAAACTGAACGATAAGACAGCACTTTACTTGGACACAATTGGTGAAGTCAACACAGAAATATCAGCTTGGAATTTAATATTATATTACGATATGAAACAATACTTTATAATGACCAAAAACGCAGAAGATGTACTGAGTAACGCAAATGAAATATGTCCTAAATTATCAAACTTCGCAGAACAATGCAAAAATATTCTAAGTACAATGTCCAGAAAATTGGAAGAAATAAAGGAAGGAAATAAATTATTTATATGGTCAATAAAAGGTAGAACTAAAAGAGCGCCATTTGCATTTGTTGGATCATTTTATCACCTTCTTTTTGGAATGATGGACGAAGATGATCGAAATGCTCTAGAAGAGAACATGAATAACCTATTAGATAATCAACATGATTTAAAACAATTAATAGCGAAACAAACTTCAGTGGTGGAAACAACAGTAAATTTATTGAAGCGCACGTCAAAAGAAGTACACCTGCAATATAATGAAATTCATACAAAAATTGAGGCAATAAAAATCGCCTTGAATGAAACTTATTTTGTCTATAAAGAATCGATCAATTTTTTTATGGTTACAAAACAACTATCAGACTTAATAGAAGAATGCTCTAACATACAATCAGAAGTAATTCAACTCTTAATGGATGTCAATCACGGAAATTTAAATCCAAAATTAATAAAACCATCACAACTAAATGAAGAGATAATAAAAATAAGAGACAAAATTCCGGAAAACCTAATATTACCTGGAAAAAAAACTGGGACAGAATTGGAATCTATTTACAAACTCTTAGAAGCAAAAGGGATATTTTTTGGTACCAAATTAATTATCAAGGCGAAGATTCCACTGTTTAATAAACAATCATCTACCCTATACCAGATAATCCCTATACCAATTAAACAAGGAAAAAGATACATCATTCCGAAGATTACATCGTCACTATTATTATATAACTTGGAAATCAATGCTTATCATTTAATGAACCCGTTAATATGGAGTCAGTGTAATAAAAATGGAGAAAATTAATTTACCTGTGAAGGAAATTTCCCATGGACAGATGCAAACGATAATTCATGCGAAATATCTCCACTAAAACCAACCAATCAAGACAATTGTTATTACAACGAAGTAAGCAATTCTTCTGTTTGGATCAAATTACACAAAAAGAACAGTTGGATTTATAAGGTCTTTAAGCAAGAATCTGCACACATAAAATGCTCATCAACATCAGACGAAATAATTACTATATCAGGACAAGGGGTATTATCATTAAAAGAAGGTTGTATGGCCCGCATAAAAGAAACAACATTAACATCATCAAGCAACTTGCAAAGTTCTACAATACTAAATATAAACAGTCCGGTTATAAAAGAAGCAGATGCGGTCGGAATCAATAATATAAAACCCTGGCGTTATTGGCAAATAAATAACAAAGATGAAATTGAGATGCTACATACACAAATTAAAGAAATCAAAAACAACGGGGTCAAATTAAAAAATTTACACTTCCATCACGCATCCGGTCACGCAGCGCTTGGTTTGACAACTATAATAATTATAGCAATAATTATTTATTTGATTCGAGCAACAATGAGAAGAAGGCGACTGCTGGCAATTGCGATATCAGCTCAGCGTCAGAATGTTCATGAATGAACATACTGTAAATTATATTATTATTATTCAATACTACTATTCCAAAACATTATTATTTTACTATTATGCTACATTATACTTTAATTTAAAAAAAAAATATTAGATAATCATTCATGTAAATTCTTATAATTTTCTTTTATTCTATATAGTTACTAAAAAAAAAATATATACATACTTAAATATTAAAATTTTTTTTTTTTAAAAATAAAATTCTTATAAAGCTAATGTATAGCATATTAAATTAAGATTAAACCTTTATATTATATTTAAGAGACTTTTTATATTAAGCCGTTCCGCCTTAATAAAGGCGCGGCAGTATGTTCAATAATGAACATATTTTACTTTAATTAAACTAATATTCAATTTTATATTTATATTATATTAAGCCATTCTGTCTTAAAAAAGCGTTGGCAATATGTTTAATAATGAACATGTTATTTTAGGACATACAATCCTAAAACTATTAAAATTAAAATTGTATCTTTTTTCAAACGCTGGCAGGATGTGCCTAAATTTATAGTTATTTATTAATGTCTGTTATCGTTTAAATTCTTAGAATTAAATAAGAAGGAAAAAACACGGGTAATAAAAAAATCCCAAAACTAAAGATATTGTAGAATATTAAACACATTTTAAAATACATGGCACCGTATCGATAATAAAAATATAATTGTAAAATAATAAAAATCCTACGTGCCAGAATTTTATTGTATCCTTTTTGTTATGAACCTTTGCGACAGCAATAAAATGCAACTAAAATTATACAGTCCACTAAAATAAATGATAACAGGCAACAAATTATTTCAACCCTTATTTGTAAATGTAGTTAAGTTATGTTAAGACAATTTTGTATAAATAGAGAATAATTTTCAAAATAAAATCAGTATTCAATTCGATACTCTAGCGAAAGCATTTCTCTTTCATTTCAAAAATTAATCATTTGGTCCTTCGAGCCTAGGAAATTGGCTAAGGAAAATTTTTTAAATTTTGAAATATAAAAGTCATAGTGATCCCCCACCAGAGGTAAGACACTTGACTTTGTTAGAGCCTTACAAACTCTAACTCAAAATTTTTCAGAGCCTTACAACCTCTGAAAAATAAACTCGTTCGTCAAGAACAAAAAATTAGTTAAAAGTGATCGAGGCAAGACACTTGACTAAAAATTCAAAAGTATTAAGGCTGTTCAAGAACGCCATTAAAACCAAAGAGCTGATCCTAACAGCTTATATAATAAAATAAAGCAGTTTCAAAGAAGGAAGGCGTTTGCACTACTATACCAAGAATTGCATCTGCAAACAAATAAAGAAGATAAAATAAAAATTAAAAGAGAAATTAAAAAATTACGAAGAGAAAAAAAAAAATAATAATAAAAATTTAAACTAAAAAATATCTTTCCTTTAAAAAAAAAATGGGTCTATTAACTAATACACAGAGCGAATTAATCAAAGACCAATATAATTTGATCAAAAAACTAGAAGAACTATTCAAACAGGCAGAAGGAATAGTAACAAGGAGTAAAAAAAAATGAAGTACTAGAATTACTAGAAGAAATATGGAAAACATTCTCGGAGAATGATAAAAAATTATATAAGTTAGGTATAGAAGATATACCATATTTCAACGAAGGGGTAGGAAAAGATATGTTAGAAAAATATACTAAAGCAAAAAAATTACTGTCAAATACAGAAGAATCAGAAATAGACAATCCAGAAGATTCAGAAATAATCACACAAGAATTCAAAATAACGAGAGAAAAAGCAGGAAAAGACAAGGAAATGGCTAGAGATAAACTAGAAAATTTGATGAAAAGACTAAAAGGACTAAAAGAAATGATTAAAGAATTTAGAACAGAAGCAATGAAACGAAGTGTGCTAATTCGAATAATAGAAGGAAATTATTAGACAAAGACCAATTAAGTAATATTAATGAAAGGTATGAGATGATAAAGGAACAGGCTAAAGTATTTTTGGATTGCAAAGATGAATTTAATCATACTAAAAATCAAGTTAAGATTGAAAAAGAAGTCATAACACCAATTACACAATTACACGATTTCGACGGAAGAGAGGAAGATTGGCAAACTTTCGTAGAATTATTTAAAGATTACGTACATAATAATCGAAATTTATCATCCTCAATGAAACTTGACTATTTAAGATCTCATATTAAAGGGGATGCGCGTATGACTATTAGTCATCTATTATCTGGAACATCAGCAAACTATGAAGCTGCGTGGGATACGTTAATAAGAAGATATGAAAACAAAAGATTAATTTTTACAAGAAATTTTGACAAATTACTTGACATGAAAACAATTAACTCATCATCAGTTTTGAGCTTAAGAGACGCTCATGATCAAATTAAACAATGCATTCAACTAATTGAATCTAAACAGGCAGAACCTAACTGTGACAGATTATACGCGCACATAATAATAAGAAAATTGGATAAAGAAGGTATTCAATTATATGAACAATATATTAAAAAACCAAGAGAAATAAACACACTAAAAGATGTATTTGAATTTCTGGAACAACAATTCCAAACTCTGGAAGCCCAAAATAGCCTTAAAACATCAAGAATAAACTATATTAATCCACCAACTGACATAAGAATTCAGAACAATACTATCCAATGTCAATGTTGTAATCAATTAGGTCATCGGATGTATAATTGCAAACGATTTATGGACATGTCGATTGGACAACGAACATCATTAATTCGCAATAAACAACTATGCGAGATATGTTTGAGTCATAATAATCGCATTAAATGCAACTCTACACACAAATGCAAAAAGTGTAATAAAGCTCACAATTCTCTTTTACACATGGAATACAATTTAAATCAACGTCAGCAAAACAGCAGAAACAACCCAAAAATTAATAAAGAAGGAAAAACTTATTCAACAATAATAAAAGATAAGAAACAATTAACCTTACTTCCAACTGTATTAATCAGCACAAAATCATCAGATGGAAATATTCATCAATTGAGAGCCTTGGTAGATCAAGGTTCGCAAGTATCAATAGTGTCTGAGAAGGTAGTTCAATTATTGATATTAAAAAAAATGAAACACATGACCAAATTGTCAGGGGTATCTAACACAACGGTTGGTACATCAAACGCTAGAGTCTTTATGGAAATATCATCAAGGTTTAGCATCAAAAAGAAGATAAAAGGGGAATTTTTAGTAATGTCACATCTAGTAAGATCATTGCCAGAAGAAACAATAGAAATAGAAACCAAAATTTGGGACAATTATAAACTAGCGGATCCTGAATTTAATAAGAATGGTTGTATTGATATGATAATAGGAAGTGACCTTTATCCAAAAATAATTAAAGAAGGCATCAAAAAATACAATAACCTAATAGGCCAAGAAACCATATTTGGGTGGATGATTTCTGGTCAAATATTAGCAGATGCAGCTAGTAATGATGTTATATCAACTTTAAACTTAGAAAGATTTTGGGAAATAGAAGAAATAGAAAATGAAAAGGAAATACCTAATTCCGACGACGAATTGTGCCTAGATCTATATAAAACAACTACAATAAAAGACACTGATGGAAGATATATTGTTCAAATCCCCTTTAAAGAAGACTTGTCATTAGGTAACTCAAGGAAGCAAGCAGTAGCCAGATTATTGAGCTTGGAGAAAAATATTAATAAAAAATTAAAAAAGGAGTACGTTGAATTTATGAGAGAATATGAACAATTGGGTCATATGGTAAAAACTAAAGACCAAAATAAAGGATTATATTACATGCCACATGAAGCAGTAATCAGAGAGGAAAGTTTAACGACGAAATTACGAGTAGTATTTGATGCGTCCGCCAAAACATCTAATGGAAAAAGTCTTAATAACATAATGATGGCAGGTCCACGATTGCAAAAAGATATTTTTGATATTATATTAAAATGAAGGTTATGGAGATTCGTAGTAACAGCAGATGTAGAAAAGATGTTTAGACAAATAAAAATAGCGAAAGAACATCAAGATTATGAGCGAATCCTCTGGAGAGAGAATCAAACAGATAAAATAGAAGAGTTTAAACTAACTACAGTCACATATGGAACAGCTTCAGCTCCATTTTTAGCAGTCCGAACACTACAGCAAATTGCAGAAGATTATGAAGGAAATGTTAATATTAAAAATACGATTAAAAATGATTTTTACATGGACGATTTACTAACTGGTGCCGATACAACGTCAGATTGTAAAGATAAAATTAATAAAATTTTTAATTGTTTAAACAGTGCAGGCTTTAAATTACGGAAATGGATGTCTAATGATCAGTCAATTTTGGAAAATTTACCCATTGAAGTCAGCAATAAAATACTTAACATAAAAGAAGACGATTCAATAAAAACACTAGGATTAAAATGGAATCCAAGAGAAGATGAATTTCAATTCTCAATAAACATCTTAACAAATGATAGAATAACAAAAAGAATGGTGTTATCAGTATACGCAAAGATTTTTGATCCATTAGGATGGCTAACTCTAGTTACAATTACTGCAAAATTATTTATACAAAAACTGTGGCAACTAAAGTATGACTGGGATGAAATTCTAGATGAACAAATTCATAAAGAATACGAGAAAAATAATAAAAATATACAAATAATTGAACAAACTCGGATTCCAAGATGGATGGAAGTATCAAGTTCGGACAATTGGGAACTTCACGGGTTTTCAGATGCTTCTGAAGCAGCCTATGATGCAGCAATATATATTAAAATAGGTTCAAAAATAAACTTATTGACAGCTAAAAGCAAAGTAGCCCCAATAAAAAATAAAAAAACTATTCCCAAATTAGAATTATGCGGAGCTCATTTACTAGCAAAATTAATGAATAAAATAATTAAAATATTAGGCAATAATCCAGAGGTCTATTGTTGGAGCGATTCTGCGATTACTTTATGGTGGATAAAAGAACCAAGAAACAAAGAAAGATTCATAAGAACACGAGCGACAGAAATTAAAATTTTAATTCCGAGTGCAGAATGGCGTCACATAAGAACAAAAGAAAATCCTGCCGATATAGCATCAAGAGGCATATGTGCATCCAAATTAATAAATAATACTCTCTGGTGGCATGGACCGACATGGCTAGCAAATCCTAAAGAGGAATGGCCAAAAGATGACCAAATAGATGGTTCTGCAGTCATCATAACAACATTAAGTTCAGATAATAATTTTATAAACGACTTGATACAGAAAATATCAAAAATATCTAGACTAGAAAAAATAGTAGCATATGTATTAAGATTTATAAAATGCCTAAAAAATAAATCCAAAGACACAAATCATATATCAAAAGAAGAACTTGATACAGCAAGAAATGAGATAATTCGACAACATCAATTAACGCATTTTGCCGCTGAAATATCCAGCATTAATCAAGGCAAAGAAATTAACAGGATTAGCAAACTAATTCATTTACGACCATTTATAGATAAAAATGGCTTATTAAGAGTTGGAGGCAGGCTACAAAACGCAACTATTAAATATAACCAAATGCATCCAACTATTCTACATAGAGATCAATATGCAGAATTAATAATATATCAAGCGCATCAATCAACATTACACGGAGGACAAAATTTAATGGAAGCACACATAAAGCAACAATATTGGATTTTAGGAGTAAGAAAAGGTATAAAAAAAATATGCAACAATTGCACAAAATGCATTAGATACAGCCAAAACTTTGGAAAACAAATAATGGGATACATGCCAAGCCACAGAATAAATGTATCCCATCCTTTCGAACACACAGGGATTGACTATGCCGGACCCATATATGAAGTGCTCAAAAGGTCGTGGTCAAAAATCATTCAAAGGCTATATTTCAGTATTTATATGCATGTCTACTAAAGCAATTCATTTAGAAGCAGTAAGCGATTTATCAACAGAAGCATTCATGGCTGCATTAAAAAGATTCTTTTCGAGACGTGGGAAAAGTGCACATCTATATTCAGATAATGGTACTAATTTTATTGGTGCATTAAAAAGACTAGACAAAGAATTTGGAAATGCAATCAAAAATAATACATCAATAGTTCAAATTCTCGCAACTGAAAAAATAGAATGGCATTTTATTCCGCCGGCAAGCCCGCACTTCGGCGGTATTTGGGAAGCAACAGTAAAATCTACAAAATACCATTTAAAACGAGTAATAGGTGAGACAAAGCTTACGTTTGAAGAAATGACAACATTTTTATATCAGACAGAGGCAGTTTTAAACTCAAGACCACTCTGCTATGTAAACAGCGGAATTGATAGCATTGATGTTTTGACACCAGGACATTTTCTAATTGGGCGACCACTATTAAACGAACCAGAAGCAGAAATCAAAGAAAAAATAAATCTAGTAAACCGCTGGGAACTATTACAGAAAATGAAATCAGATTTTTGGAAGAAGTGGAAAAAGAATATGTGACGTCACTTCAACAAAGAAATAAATGGATAAAAGAAAAACCAAATATGAAAAAAGGGCAAGTAGTAATCATCAAAGATGAAAATACAGCACCTGCTAGATGGCCATTGGGGAAAATTACTGAAGTATATGCCGGGCCGGATGGAAAGGTGCGAGTAGTAGAACTCAAAACGGGGAATGGAAAACTAAAAAGACCAATTCACAAACTATGCCCTCTACTAGATTCCAACGCAATTCGAGGTGATCAACAAACAGGAACACAAAAAGTTTATTGCAATGTAAATACGAAAACTGAGGTAAAATCCGACAGTACAAAGTTAGCATGGACTACTTTGTATTTTTTGATGTTATGCATATTACCAGCTGTAAAAGCAATAACGAATTCATCAGGGGCCTCAATACATAAACTGAACGATAAGACAGCACTTTACTTGGACACAATTGGTGAAGTCAACACAGAAATATCAGCTTGGAATTTAATATTATATTACGATATGAAACAATACTTTATAATGACCAAAAACGCAGAAGATGTACTGAGTAACGCAAATGAAATATGTCCTAAATTATCAAACTTCGCAGAACAATGCAAAAATATTCTAAGTACAATGTCCAGAAAATTGGAAGAAATAAAGGAAGGAAATAAATTATTTATATGGTCAATAAAAGGTAGAATTAAAAGAGCGCCATTTGCATTTGTTGGATCATTTTATCACCTTCTTTTTGGAATGATGGACGAAGATGATCGAAATGCTCTAGAAGAGAACATGAATAACCTATTAGATAATCAACATGATTTAAAACAATTAATAGCGAAACAAACTTCAGTGGTGGAAACAACAGTAAATTTATTGAAGCGCACGTCAAAAGAAGTACACCTGCAATATAATGAAATTCATACAAAAATTGAGGCAATAAAAATCGCCTTGAATGAAACTTATTTTGTCTATAAAGAATCGATCAATTTTTTTATGGTTACAAAACAACTATCAGACTTAATAGAAGAATGCTCTAACATACAATCAGAAGTAATTCAACTCTTAATGGATGTCAATCACGGAAATTTAAATCCAAAATTAATAAAACCATCACAACTAAATGAAGAGATAATAAAAATAAGAGACAAAATTCCGGAAAACCTAATATTACCTGGAAAAAAAACTGGGACAGAATTGGAATCTATTTACAAACTCTTAGAAGCAAAAGGGATATTTTTTGGTACCAAATTAATTATCAAGGCGAGGATTCCACTGTTTAATAAACAATCATCTACCCTATACCAGATAATCCCTATACCAATTAAACAAGGAAAAAGATACATCATTCCGAAG